TAGTACTCTCTCTCTCTCTCTCTCTCTCTCTCTCTCTCTCTCTCTCTCTCTCTCTAGCGTTTTAAAATTAACTACAGACGTGTAACTTTGACGATTTGCTCACATATTGTGCCACTGAACAGTCAATGCTGATTAGAGATTGTATATGTATGTAATGAGAGTAAAAGAAGCTTGTATATGCATCACACGATGAATCCAATTCCATGACTTTGCGTATCGTTGTTATCGAGTACGAACGCAGGATTTCGTTGATAGAATAGTTCTAATGAAGAACGAATTCTAATCACGATTCCGAGTACGTACCATATTGTTATGCCACACTAACAATATAATAATAATAGTAACAACACAATAATATCGATAATAACAGTACCAATAATAACTGTAACAACAATTCTTCGTGTTATTCATTTCTTCCTTTGATCTACTGAAGTCGCCGAATCATCGAGTATGAAAGAAAATTATTTACATCAAAAAACAAATTTACATACACTTAGGGAAAATATATTTTTATATAATTTAGCAATATTTTTATGCAATTTTATTCGAAACATATGCGAAATTTGTTCATCAAAAACTGATTATTACGTATAAAAGTTTCTCTTTTTATTAATAGAAAGTTATCAATAATCTATGTTTTTGCCATAAAGATATATTTTACTAAGTAAAATGTGTATAAAAAATTGTAAGAGAAAATAATTTTTTAAAAGGATAAATTGAACTTTTCTCTCGTTAAATGTATTATATAATATGATAAGTTTCTATCTCATGTGTTAAGGCAGTACATCCCAATTTCTAGTTGCATAATGGGAATTCTAAAAGACAGTGCGTGTGTAACATATCATGAATCTTCATTTAATTTATTCCGTGATCGTATCCCCGCAGAAACACCAGCGATTACGTAAGGGAGACATTCAGTTATAATAAACGAATTCGGAGAGTTATACGCCGGTACTCACATGCGTATAAAATGTCGAAGTGAAAATCGGACAGAAGCATGGCGCAAGCAATGATCTCTCTGATTTCCAAGAAGACATTGCCTCCGGGCTGTGTTACATTTCATCGAACCCTCGAATACATTGACCGTTCCACATTTATAGTAGCGATACGTAAAAAGCCTACGCAAAAAATGCATATTTCCTTGTGAAGACTTTGCAACTTAGAAATTTGTAGAATATAATCATTTCAAACAATTCAATTCTATTAATATAATTCAGACGTCAATCTTAGTATTTTTATAAGAATAAATTAACAACTTGACAAAAATTTATTATAACAAGAAATAACTAGCAGTTTATTTGGTTGCAAGAATTTCCTGCAAATCGACTAGAAATTAAATTAATTTAACCCAAAGCAGAGAGAAGCAATATATACTATTTTGATTTA